CTTAAACCCTAAACCCCAAATCTTAAACCCTAAACCCTAACTTAAACCCTGAACCCTAAACCCCACAACCCAAATCTTAAACCCTAAACCCTAAACCCCACACCCCAAATCTTAAACCCTAAACCCTAAATCGTAGACCTCTGTACCAGGCCGGAACCCGAAGCCATCCGAAACCTTGTGATCAGAAGTTCGAAGGGTCAACAAGACCTTTAGGGGGTTTAGAGGTTTAGGGTTTAGGGGGTTTAGGGGATTAGGGTTTAGGGGGTTTAGGGGTTGTGGTCATCTTGTTCTGCGTCAAACACATGCCATAAACTCCCTAAACCCTCCATCTGCCCTCTATCAGACCCTAAATACCCTTAGTTTGGGACCATATATGTTTATTTGAGGGTACTTGGAGGGTCCTGGTCTGCAGGCAGAGTCAGGAGTCTTTTCGATAGCAGTATGTCACTATGTGAGGATTCTGCCTAGCGGCCCAACTAGGTTACACAACAAACAGGGGCATGATGGTCTAATGGTTTGCACCAGGGCTCCTTTCGAGCATGCAGCAGGTAGCTCCGGCAGGGCAACTGATGGAAAATGGAAGTTGGAGTTTGTTGGAATAAATCACGCAACCTTTGCTGCACCTAAATCGAAACATTGCAACCCATTTAAACGCTTTCGGTACAACGGTCCAGGCTTCAACGCGCATGTTTCAGGGGTTTGTGGGTCCAGGTATCAACCTTTTTTTTGGATTTAGGGATTCGGGTTAATGGGTTCAGAGCTCATAATGTCGTTCTGCAAAGGGTCCTTTGGAGGGGTTGGGGGAGAGGGGGGTGGGGGGGGGGGTAGCAAGTAAGCCTTCTTTATGATATTACCCTTACCCTAGGGGTCCAAGTACCTAAGAATCATAAACTCTTCTGAATACCAAAACTACTATCCGTAACCCATGTACATGATTATTAGGTCCTTTGGACCCTTAGGGTAGGGTCCCTGGTTAGGTCCCCCCCAAACGGGGTAGCCCAAAACCCTAAACCCTAGCCCTAAGCCTTCTTTATGATATCACCCTTACCCTCCTCGGGTCCATGTACCCAAATACTATATACTTTGCCCTTAAAGTAATCCCTATTTGGGTACTTTGGGCCCAAAGTATATACTATTTGGGTACATGGACCCTTAGGGTTACAAAGCTTGCAAGACTTCCGACAACGCTGAATGCCGAGGTCGCCCATCGCAGTTTCACGCCAGCGGATGCCGAGCTTTCTGGGTTCATCTGCGTGCAAACAGCAAACGAAACCTGGATTCCGCTTCGAGCTTCGGCTGATTTCATGAGCACTTATGTGGGTTGTAGGCTGTGAGGTTGACGGTGTGGAGGTTTAGGATTTAAGTTGTTGCGGGTGTTTGCTGCCACTGCTGATGCTGCCACTGCCAAACAACGCTCCCACTGCTATTACTCCTACTGCTACTACTACGACGACGACGACGATCGCGACGATCACCACGACGACGAGGAGGACTGCGCACCTCAAAATCCTTGTTGTCCTTAAAGGACGAAATGAGCCCAAGGTTCATATACCATATAGGGATTCATAGCATAAGGGTACAGGGCCCCTACGTATAAGGGCCATTTGGTCCCCAAGGGTCTTGAAACCTAAACCGCACAATCCCAAAGCCCTCAAACCCCCAATGCGCCAAAACCCGAAACTCAAACCCTGAGGCTCAAAGTAGCCCAAAAGCCTTATTTGATATGGTCTTTAGGCCCAAAAGCCCTTACAACGAGCAATAATTGTTTCGATAGAGCATAAAACATTTACGAGGAGCAATGTTGTTTGTTGCTCTTAAAGGTTACTGGCTCTTTTCTAGAAGGTTGTTGGCTCTTTTTATGAGTCCTTAGAGCCTTAGGGTAAGCGCCCGAACCTGAGGCCGGGCCAAGACCAATGCCGCGTCCTAAAGGTCCTAAAGGTCGTAACTTTAAGGTTTAGGGTTTTGGGGGTTTAGGGTTTAGCGGTTTGGGTTTAGGGGGTTTGGGTTTAGGATTTGGGTTTAGGATTTAGGGTTTAGGATTTAGGGTTTAGGGGTTTAGGGTTTAGGGGTTTAGGGTTTAGGGTAGAACCTGAGCCCGAAGGTACAAACGGCACATTCGAGCTCAAGATATAAAGCAACGCCTAAAGCCTAAAGCATACCCATGGGCCCCTAAGTAGTTCCTTTTTATGGTTTATATTTAGAATTCTATAAGGTAATCCCAAAAAGGAACTACCTAGGGCTATGGGTAAACCCTATTCCGAAAAAAAGCAAGGAGGGATCACCTTCAAGCAGATCAGTGGTGGGCCTTCGAAGAGCCCTGGCGGCAAAGCGGTCGCCAGAGCGTCTCAATCTAGCCTGTTATGTTTCAGGGTTTAGGGTTCAGGCTTTAGGGAGGGTTGGAGGGTGTAGGGGTTTGGGGGTCTGGGCCTAGGATTATGATTCGCGGATCATTCAATGCATGCTGGACGCTTGTTCGTTCTGGCAGAGTGCTTAGCGGCTTAGCTAAGATGTCTTAGGCTATTAGGAAACCGCAAGCCCTACGCCCTAAACCCTAAACCCCCTAAACCCTAAACCCTAAACCCCTCCATAAACCCTAAAGCCTTGGAGGTGAGCGATGGAGGGAATTGGGGAAGGCGGGTTGAGGATCTCAGAGGTTAGCTTCGAGACTTAGGGGAACTCGGCTTTAGGTGTTGTTTGAGGTTTAGGGTTGAGGGTTTAGGGGTTTAAGGGTTTAGGGTTCAGGGTTTAGGGTTTAGGGTTTAAGGATGTAGGGTTCAGGGTTTAGGGTGTTAGAAAGGGGTTTTCGGTGTTAGAAGTACCTGCGGTAGATAGGATACTTAAATCACCAGTTTATACCGATGCCGACGACTCAAGCATTTCAGGAAGCAAAGGCTGTTTCAGTCTTTCAGCCCAGAGATCAGGACAAGCCTACAGGCACCACACATGTTCGCTCCCTCAGGTGAGTCAGCAGCCTTGGTCAGGCCAATTCGGAAGCCTAAATAATTACCTATATTCATCCTGGGAGTGCCCTATTCTAAGCATACTACAAATAACCATCCCAACCCCGAGTCTATTTTTTGGGGCCCCTCTATACATGAGCACCAGATGCGATGCAAGAGCATGCACCTCGTTCCGGCTGCGGCCTCCGATTCTGCCGATATGCAGCCTGTGAGGGCTTTCTGTGTAGCAGGACGGTGCGGTATTTGGGCAGGACTTGTGAAGCAGCCAGGAAGTTGTTGGAGCAAGGTGACTTCGCGCTTCACATCCGAATCGAGACTCGCCAAAAGTCGGAGTGGAAGCCGCGCGCAGCAAGAAGTGAGCTCCTGACGGAAATGGCCGCCGCCCTGAAAAGGTGCGGCCGGCCTCCACTGTTGTCACTGGGAATCTATGAGCCAACGGCCCTGCGTGACCTTTTCGCCTTGATCCTGGATGTGCTGAAATTGTCAAAAAACCTTCAGGTTCTGCATTTGGCAGACATCGCGACCAGCCCACTTCGTGCTTCCTCGGCTGCAGGTTCATTCGACATGGCACGTGCACTAGCGCTAATGAATGTCCTAAACTTTACGGACCCTGCTTTGCCCAATGCTGGCAGATGCTTGCGCGAGCTGTCTCTGACAGCTGGCACTTGGTCGTGGGATTCGTTGTGCATGCTGTTTGAAGGGCTGTCCAAGGGCTGCTTGCAGATCGTAAACTTGCGTGGAAAGTTGTTGGAGCCAGCTGCGAAAAGAGATTTGCCCGCTTTGAGGACAGTGTCGTTCTTCCACTGGAAAGGATCTTGCCTTTTCGTCCCCAACAGTTTGAAGGTAGTTCTGAATGCGTTGCCGAAGGCGGAGATTCGGTTTTCCGGAGAGACATGTGGTGGCTTTGCCGCGCCGCCTAAAGAGACGCTGCAGGAGTTCGAGGTGATGGCTAGCACCTTGGAGCCATGCAAACGCGTGTGGGTGGCTTGGGATGATGGCTGGAAGAAGGTGGAACCTGGCTGTGGTATAGTTGACGGATGCACTGGTGCCGGTAATGTCGCGCGTCGACTCATGATCTTCTCGATGTACGTGGCCTCAAAATCATGGCACCAACCTCATCTATGCAGCAGGGGCATGGGGACAGTGCCGGTCGACGGGCCAAGTAGGCGAAGCCAAGCCTCCGCACCTCAAGTTGCCCCCACCTGAGCCGATGTGCCAGGCCTAAGTCAGCTGTATGCTACGAGGCAGTGCCGATCCAGCACAAGGCAGCACACCAGCTAGCCGAGCAAGGCGAAAGAGCCGAGGTATTCTTGCATGCTCCTTGGGGACCAAATGGCCCTTATAAGTAGGGGTTCTGTACCCTTATACTATGAATCCCTATATAGGTATATGAACCTTAAAACCTGTTGGGGTTCATCTCGTCCTTAAGGCTCCAAAGAGAGCCTGCAACTTGCACGGCCACGAGGGAGAAATGGGCTCCATTCCCCAATACCCAACCTTTAAAGTTTTTGTGTTCCTTTAATTTAGTAGTAATCTGAAAGTTTAACCTTTTGTTTCCTTGGCTTATTGGGGAAGTAAGTTTATGGGTGTATATTTAGAATCATATAAGGTAATCCCAAAGAGGAACTACTTAGGGGCCTATGGGTAGGTTTAAAACTCCTGCTCCATGGGGTGTGTCGGACAGGAAGCCTCGTCCTCAAGCCCCAAACCCAAAGCACAAGTTTGAAAACCAGGGTTTAGGGTTTAGGGCTTTAGGGTTTAGGGTTTAGGGTTTAGGGTTTAGGAGCTCGACGCGGAGAAACCGATCTCAGAAGGATGATTAAGGTGGTCTGCTTACATCCCACGCCCCAAGCCGTAAACCCTAAACCCTAAACCCCTGCAGCCGGTTCCCTGCCTTCAGGTTTGGGGTTGATCTGATACTCACAGACTTACGCAGGATTGAGCCAAGCACGCGAGCACACAGACATAAAGCAGACGGGGCTTAAGCAGCAATTTATGGCCTGCATAAAACCATTAATTGAGCCTGCTTAAGTAGTAATTAGGCTGTAGGGACTGTAGGGTTTATTCTGTCAACCCTCGTCCGATAGAATAGAATCGACTTCCTCGAGCTTCAAACCTGAAGCCCATGTCGGTATGATTGCCGAAACGGGGGTTTGCCTGACTACTGATGGATGGTTCTTGCGCCGTAGCATGATCCCAAATCCTAACCCATGCCTTAAAAGAAATCTAGCACCCAGAAGCAAAAATCTGAAGCCTCACATATCAAATCTTCAACCCTACCAGGAGGGTTCATATATACGAGTATTATGGAATTAGGCCCCAAAACACCATAATAAGGATAGGGTTTGGGGCTTAATAGTTGTAGTATAGGTGGACCTTCTGGGCTAACCAGGCCTTTTTCGAACCTTGAGCCTGGAAGCTAAGAGACCAATCGGCGGCAGCTCCCCATCACGACTCCGTCCTCCAATCCCAGCTGGTTTAAGGTGGTACGGTTGATGATCTACATCCTGCATTACCCATAGTAGGGAATAGACCATAATTCCCATAGTTTAGGGACCTTAACTGCAAGATTTATATAGGATGCACTGCACACTGTCAAACCTGCAGACCTAAACCCTAAACCCTAAACCGAATAAACCAAAGCCGAACTGTTGGAGCGCCTGCAATACCCCCAGCAGCCTCACAGCCTGAACCTTAAACTACCCATAGGCTCCTTAGTAGTTCCTTTTTGTGATTACCTTATAGGATTCTAAATATGAACCATAAAAAAGAACTACTTAGGAGCCTATGGGTAAATCAACCCTACAGCCCTAAACCTTTGCGAAGGGACTTGGCCAAGTCGGCTGCTCCGACTAACCTGTCGACGGAGGCTCGGGTGGTTGGGTTAGGGTTTCGGATTGCTGGGTTTACCCATAGGCTCCGAAGTAGTTCCTGTTAAACTTGCCTTATAGGATCCTAAATATAGACCACAAAGAGGAACCATAATGGAGCCTATGGGTAGGGTTTATGGACCTAGGGTTTAGGGATGTAAGGTTTGGGGAGATCGGATGTAGGGTTTCCGGATCAGGGGTTTAGGGTTTGAGGTTTAGGGATGAAACGTTTCGGGGGATTTAGGTGCGTAGGGTTTCGGATGATCTGCCTGGTCGCGGACTGGGTTATAGGCACTACTTGGAGCGGCCTGAAGGACTATCATAGGGATCCATTTCCCCAGTCCCTACCAAGCAAGGACCAGGGAGCTGCCGGCTGTGGATGTTTAGATTGTGGTGTCGGGTTTAGGGCGTAGGGTTTAGGGTTTAGGGTTCGGGCTTACATTTTGCTAGGTTTTGGTCTGTGGCTCAGAGCGTAGTACTTGGTATGCGGGGGTGCTGCGTTGTGTGGTCTAAGGAGTTTAAGGCTCTGCAGGTTTGGGCTTAGGCTGTTGATGGACTCTCAATCTCTGGACCTCCTACAAACCCTGAACCCTACAACCCTAAACCCTAAACCCTAAAACCCTAAAGGCCCTAAACCGTAAAATCCTAAACCCTAAACTGTACTTGTATCTTTGAACCAGGAAGCGAAGCCCACCCCCTGTTAACTCAAAAGCCAACACCCCGAAGCAGACGGTTTAGGGTTTAGGGCTTCGGGTTTAGGGCTTAGGGTTTAGGGCTTAGGGGTTTAGGGCGTAGGGCTTAGGGTTTAGGGTTTAGGGTTTAGGGCTTAGGGCTTAGGGTTTAGGGTTTAGGGCTTGCGCCGAATCCGCAAAAGATGGCACAAGCTCCGCTCCCCAGCTACTGACAGGATCCTCAAAGAAAGGGGCCTGGAGGTAAGGGAGGCCTACGTGCACAGTTTAGGGTTTAGGGTGTAGGGTTTTAGGGTTCAGGGTTTAGGATTATAAAGAAGCTCATGAGCAACCCCGGTTAAAGCCGTACTATAAGACCACCCCGCTCGTCACAAGCCTTACAAGCTCATAAACTTCTAAAGCTCGAAAAATTCTAAACCCCTAAACCCCTCAAACCCTAAACCCTAAACCCAAGCCCTCAAACCCAAAACGAAACAGGCACCCAACATATCAACAAGTCGTCAGGTCTTCGGGAAACTCGACCATGGCAGGGCATGGCTGCAGGAGGGATCTGTTTGGATTTAGGGTGCAGGGTTTTGGGGTTTTTGTGTTTTGGGTGGGTTTTGGGTTCTAGGGTTTAGGGTACAGGGTTTTGGGCTTTTTGGTGTTTTGGGTTCTGGGTTGAGGGATCTCGGGCTGAGTGTTTCGGGGACAGAAGCCTGAACAATTATCCAGATCCATACTATTATTCCTCATGTGTCCTTACTATTATTACACTATACCACGAAAACCCTACTCGAGCTAGTAAGGCCCCTGTAGTAGAGGATTAGACTATCTGGGTTTAGGGCCTATAGGATTTAGGGTTTCGGGGTCCAGGGCCTAGGGCAAAAAACAGCCACTATTTCATGATTTTTTTGGGGAAAATCGTGGTAAGGAGCCACAACAACCCAGAGTTCTTAAACCCTAAACCCCTGAACCCTGAACCCTAGACCCTAAAGTGTTCAGGGAGGGCCTAGATGGGGAAGAAGGATGGGAGAGAGGACCGAGGCTCCCAGGGGCCTGGGTTTGGGGTTTAGGATTTAGGGTTTAGGGTTTAGGATTTTGCAAAGTCGCTTTAAAGTTCCCGGAGACGATGCCAAGAAGGCACAGAGGGGACCCTCAACCCTGAACTCCACCCTAAACCCTAAACTCCACCCCAAACCCTAAACTCCTCCCTAAACCCTAAACTCCACGCTATACCCTCAACCCTAAACTCCACCCTAAACCCTAAACCCTAAACCCTAATAAACCGGATCATTTAGTCACACAGGACTTACCCCTAAACCTCGAACCCGAATCCCCATGAACGGTAAGCCCCCGAACCGAAGCCAAACCCTCCTAAACCCAAAGCCCGAAAGAAGCCTCAACCCTGTGTTCAGGGTTTTGGGTTTAGGGGGTTTTGGGTTTGGGGTTTTGGGTTTAGGGTGTTGGGTTTAGGGCTAAACAACCCCTAACCCTAAACCCCAAAGCCTCATCCCCTAAAGCTTCAGGAGAAGCACAGCATTTACCGGATGGCTGATCCTTCCCGGGTGCCTCCTTGGAGGAACGCTATGCAGGCAGAGCGAGCTCAGGTTATAGGGGTCATAGGGGTTTTGTCATAGAGGTTTTACGTGTTTTCTTACGTTTATAAGGATTTTCGGCCTCACAAGCTTTGTAGGGCTTTTCGGGATCATAGGGTTCATAAGGTTTACAGGGCTTAGAGGGCCTATGGGGTTTGCAGGGCCTTGAAGCCAAGATTTGGCTGGATCTGAAACGGAGCTTAGGTTAAAGAGTTCCTTAACAGGACTGCAAAGGCTTTCTGTCCATTCTGGAGCCAGGCAGGATTGAGCTGGACTTGAAGTACCCGTCTACGGGGCCTGTGGAGCTGCCTTGCCAGACCCTAAAACCCTAAAGCCCTAAACCCTAAACCCCTAAAACCCTAAACCTCTAAACCCCTAAACCCTAAAGCCCTAAAAACCCTAAACCCTGAAATCCTGGGTCCTTGGAAACCTCTCTTCCCACCCCAAGCCTAAGCCCGAGCCCTAGAGCCCAGAGGCCGATGCAACTCCCTACGCCCTGAACCTCACAAACTCAAATCCCAATAGATCCCCTGCCTTTTTTAGGAACCCTCATACATCAGTGAAAAGGAGCCCTGTAACCTGACACCTTAAACCCATGAGCCTGAGACAGAGTCACGAAACATATTCTGCCCTGCTGCAGGGAACAGTCGAGTGGAAGAAGGCTGGTTGGGTTTAGGGTTTGGGGCAAAGGGTTTGAAGTTATGGGTTTTGCCTCTTTTCTTGTGCAGGAATTGCAAATCTGGGTGGGCTTAGGGTTAAGAGTTAAGGGTTCAAGGTTTAGGGTTTAGAGCTTTGCCGAGGTTGCTAGCATGACTTATCAGGTTCGGGGCTCCAGCTTTAGGGACAATGGCTAAGGGGAGGCTAATGATAGAAATCATGTAAAACCCTAATCCCTAAACGCTAAACCCTAAACCCAAAACCGTAGGGCGTATGACCTAACTCTGAAGCCCTAATCCTTTTCAGCCTTCTACTTCCCCAACAATCCACGCATGCGATCACTCTGAAGTTGTAAGATGACTCCCCCAATCATGGCTTCCCATAGGCTCCTTTATGGCTCCTTCCTGCGGTGT